TTAGACAAGGGCTAAGGGCGAGTCATCCCTCTTAGCAGCTCTTTCCTAATCAATCAGCTTTTGTGCTCTCCCAAAATAGCGGAAAGACTTTGAATAATTCCACCAACAACTTTTCTCATGAAAGGGAAGACTTTTTAATAAGACTTTCTTTCTCTTGCACCACGCCGGAACGTATGGACACTGCCTAAAGTGAAGTAAGAAGGAATCGGGGTGGCTAGCTTTCCTGCTTCTGTGCTTGTTATTAAGAAGATAGAAAAGATATAGCTATCTCCCGTAGGCTACTCTTTAGAGCGTTTCACTCGTTTAAGGAAGACTCATACAGCCTAAGACAACTGGGTTTACGAACAGGGGTTATTCCCATATATATGGATGGATGTTACTTTTGTGCTTAATTTAGTTTTGCGTATCAGTTAAGTTTCAGGTCTGTGCCTGAGGCCTGGACCAGAAAGCTTTAATGGCGGGGGCAGAAACGGAAGCAGGTACGAATAGAAGAAGGCCCAGAATAGCCAAGCCAAAAGGGTCCTATTAAGTGGTCCAATCATTGTGGGTATAATGGTAGATGCTCGGGACCAAGCCCTCAATTTTATACTTTGGAAAACTTCTAATAGTAAACTTAAACTATCAATTATATTAGGTAGAGGAGCAATTTCATCGAAATCACAGGCATAACTCATTCCTTCATGGAGAACAAGTTTATTTCATATACCTCTGCTTGAAGAGAAGTAGAGCGGCTCAGGAACATCTTGGTAGAAGTACCGATATGGAGCAATTGTTGCCGGTCTAGACAATTTTTACGGCTGCCATGCTGAGATAGTACAGCTAGGCAACTAATAGGTAATCCATACCAGTGTGTCTGATGTATGTGAGAAGGATCTTGACAAAATTTCCAGTAAGTATGTGGAGTCCAGATGAGATCTGGCTGATCCCGTGTCAAAAGGCCTTGGCAAGGAAAAAACCAGAGCATAGTTAGTTGTCTTGTACTTTACGGTAACCCAACCTGTTCTCCTAGGAAAAATGAGAAATATAAGCACATGAATGAATTTTAATTCTTCCATACCTATGGTCTATGTGCTTATTCCTGCATTTAAGTTCTATTAATGAATCCCGGAGGAGGAGAAAGAAACCTGATAGATTCACCGATCTGAGTGTGGTATTTCAATTCCTATAGGATTTGGACTTTAATCCTTAGAGCACTCAGGGGATCCTAGGCACATGGCCGTAAGGTGCCGAGCTTATCTGTAAATACTTTAGTGGGTGTGTGTGTCATTTCTGCTTTGTCAACATGCTTCTTAGAAAAAGACCTTGTTCACCTAGTCTTAGGAAGCTCCATTCTTTAGAGGTAAATATGATGATGTTGAAATAGCAGATTATATAAGCATTACTTCAGCCTGGCAAAACTGGCTTGTTTGTGTAATAGCTTTTCCTGCCCTACGACTAGTAGGTAACTCACTACCTTTATGGAGTAAGAATCATTCCTGCTTCCAGACTTAACCTTCGCCTGCACAGAAATTATAGGAACTTAACTGAGACCTGGTTAAGGGAAGAAGGTTTATCATCCTGTTGTTGCCATATCTGTTGCCGCTGTTCTCTTTGCAATTTAATTTTATGTGGGAATAACTGAAATAACCGTTGTTCAAATAGCCGTAAGCGGTGGTGGTGAAGTCAGTTAATCAGAATCGGTTGTGCTAGAATCTGCTGTGGGACTTGAGCTTGTGGCATATCGATAATATGAGTATGCATCGAGAAATATAACTTTCGATTTCATGTCCAGATGAAATGCAATTTCCAACTAATGGCACTACTTCCTCAATAGGAAATTAACTTCTAAGCTGGCTAAGGTAAGATAATCCTGTTCTTGCAATAACAGGTCTTTCTGGTGAGTGAATAAGAGCTCTTCGTAACCGCAGCTAAAGGCTTAGCCTAGCCCTAAAGCAAGCAAATGACATATAGAAATAGTAGGCATCGCATGCCCTTGCCTTTTTGCTTTTCTTACCTCCTTTTCTTCCTTTAAAGCAACTGACATCCATGTAGAAGAAGGTTCACAGGTGGACAAAGAGGGCTGTCCCTTGGTTTGCGGCGAATATATTGTCGATCTTTAGCCAATAGCAGTAGGAGTAGCTGGCACTGGCTTTCGGGATATCAATAATACATATGCAATGTGCCGCATCTACTTGACCCGCCGGCGCGAAGGCCTTCCCCCTCTCCTCAGATGTCCACAAAAGGAATTGACAGTGAATCCTATGACTTTCCTTCTAAGACATGGTAATTGCTTTCAAGGGCTAGATGCTGCAAGTGAATCAAAAGTAGAGAAAGGGTCAGCTCCTTCACTTCATTCTCTCGCTCTCTCTATCTCTTTCTATTTTTCGTATAGAAAGATGACACACTTGAACTTGACTGATTTTCTTAGTAAGAAATAATAATCAGAAATCATCCATCTCATAAGCTTTTCAAAGCACATTCTAAACAAACGAATGCTATATGCTTAACACAAAGAAATCGATTTTAGATTCCGTAAGTAAGTCGGTGAATGCTTTCTTTTTGCTTGCGCATTCACGGATCTCTGCCTACCTATTCTTCCCCCACAAAATCCGTACTTGGCTATGTATGGGAAGATGCCTAACTTACCAGAGAAGTCAAGGATGGTCAAGGTGCCTATTCCACCCAAGGATCCGTGGTGTGGTCCGCAAGCAAAAATAAGATAAAAAAGAAGCATCAGCAGGGTCACAGTCTCCAAAAGTAGAGTGACAAGGGCTCAGCCTTTGATTACACGTATAGTTTAGTTCATAGTCCCCTTACCAATGAGACTTCTTCCTCTTTTATGGAGAAAAAGCGAAAGCGAAGGCAGCGATCATAACAACCGGTCCGAAGGAGAAAGACTGTCTTTTCCCGATCGTCGAATGCGAAGAGAGGTAGTACAAGTAAGCGAGAGGTTTAGAGAAATACTCGACCATAAGGAGAGGGAGAGAAGCTAACCCCCGTTCCTAAGTCTTCTTCCACCTCACTCCTGGCTTTGGAAGGTCGTTTCTATATTCGTATATAGAGATAGACGTAAGGTTGGGGCTGGACCGGGCGGACCCCGGCTTCCGACGTACAACAAGATCAAGCCCAAACGTCGTTCAGTTTTTTCCTCCTCTTCCTGTTCTATTGATCAGAAGCACCCAGCAGCGCCACGCCGCTACTCCTCAAATAGGTGGCGGTTGCTTTGAATGAACTCTACAGTTGATTGTAAGAGTTCTTCTTTTTGGACGCGCGCTGCTTCATCTCTATGGGCGTCGCATGCTTTTATGATATTAAACCTCTTGCCGTCGAAGCCCGGCCTCCGCTTGTTTAAGGAGGTTGGCGTTCTCTTGCAGACGGCGTCGGTTATCCTGTCGCAATCGGTCTAAGTGTTCCTCCGAAAACAAATTAGAGTTAGGATCATCCCACGTGTGACTTTCTACCTCCGCAGCGGTGACGCTCCCAGGGGACGAGACGGATTGTGGTGGAGATCCGTCCGAATCCGTTTCCGAGGAGGCATGGGGAGTCCGACTGAGATGCCGGAGACTCAGATCCTGATGTCCCCTCGCCGAGAGGCATCATATGGTTTTGGTATGTGAGCAGCGCTCGTAAAGTAAAGTCTACAGTCAAGGAAAGCCCTGCTGAGCAGCCCAACCCTCTTAGAGCAAAGGATAGGGCTCGACCGCCCAGAGAGAACCCAACCTTTGAAAGTAAGGCATGAAAGAAATCCAATTCCTTGAATTGCTGACAAATAAGATAGAAAATACCTAAAAAGGTAGAAATAAAGAGAAACTAAGATTGAAGAAAAGGAGTCAAACTCAAGCTCGAACTTATAAAGATAGGCGGATTAAAAGTAGTTAAAGCCCCGCCTTGCTTTCGCGTATTTAGGGCCTAACTTTGTAAAGCGTTTTAATGTTGGAATTTGTGTTTCATATGAGGCAAAATAAACATGGGGGGCCGTTTTCTTAGGCAGTTGCTGATTGAGGAAAAACCGTCAGCTCTGTCTTTGCTATTTCGACGGTTTCCTACAATGAAAAGAGACTGGATCTTCAATATAAGTCTTTCTTGTGAAAGAATAGGGCAGCATTTGTTTGTGGCTCCCTCACACCACTGCTGGTGACCTTGCAAACTCTAAGGTCCTTTAGGCTGCTGGGTTAGTAAGAACAAGATAGTGGGCTTTCCCGTGTAATTTCGACACCTTGGACTTCAGCATCTTTACTTAGGGATACCCTTGGTAAATCATCTTTATTTTCCCTGCGAGAACAGCTCTTCTTCAGCTACCGAAGCTTGCAGGTGTGTAGCTGCACCGAGCTTTCTATTTTGAATTCGGGTTCCCACGGTATTGATGAGAGCCTTTTTTCCTCGGATCATGTTGTCTTACGTCCTTCCTGATGAGACCTTTTTCAAAGTCCCTTGTTTTAATTCGACGAAGAGCTTCTTTATCTTACGCAATTTCGAGATCAGGATATTGAAGAATACCTTCGACGTGTAGCTAAGTAGCTTCAGATTCCTTTTCCTTGGTTGCCGATCAAGGTAGAGTCTTCACAGGTGATCAAGTAAAAGAGTTTGCTAATATATCTAGTTTTTGTTGAAATGATTCACTCAACACCTTTGCTCAGGCTAATGGACAAGCCGAGTCTTCCAAAAAAATAAGGTGAACTAGCTTATAAAAAATGATAAAGGATAACCCAAGCAAGGATCTGGCATGAAGTGTAGTCAGAGGCTCTCTAGGCATGTCGGACAAAAAGACCGAGTTTCCATTAGGAGGTGGGACAAGAAGCTTAACCATACTTGGCTTTGGAAAGACTTCTGCTCGACACGTTCAAGCTTTTCCGGGAGGATCTTTTTTAAATATTTTATTCCCAGGTTAAAGACTGGGGCGGGTTTAACTAAATATCCTGACCCCTGACCCATAGTCTTCATGGATCTGATCTTTCCTGCTATTCCTAAGGAAAGGATAGTATTCAAGGCGATCAGAGTCAGCATCGGCATAAGGGAATAAAAAGTGGCAAGAATCATTCCATTCTTCCTCGGCAAGAGCACCCGAATCCTAATTTTGTTTTTGGCCTTGTCAGTATCCCTTTGTGAGTCTTCTGCTGAAGACTTTCTCCTTAGTAGTCTCCCAATGGCCCTTGACCGGTGTGGCTAAGCCAATACATAATCACCATAAATTAGTGACGAGGGCTCTCTGCGGCTAAGAATAGAAGGTGGTGTACTAGTTCTCAGTAAGTATTGGAAGAATCCCATGAAATGTTCATCCAAAGAGGGATTTTAGTTAGTGAAAAAAGACCTTCTTTTTCTTGTTACCTCCTGCCCGCAGCCATGCACTTAATAAATAAATATCATAGGAGTAGTAGCGCTAAGCGAAGCATCAAAGCAGAAGGAGCTTGACACCATTGAATCAAGTGTTGAAAGACTACGTATGAAAATAGAATCCCCAGATGATAGGGGCCCGGGAACTGAACGATGTTAGCGCAAGGGGCTTAAATTAAAAGGCAGGTAGCATTCGATAAGCAGGCAGGTTTGGGAAACTAGCACCAGGTACTAGGTCGATGGCATGCAGAATACTCCTCATCGGTGGTAAACCATGGGAAGAGCATCACCAACCAGCTCCTTCAAAGATTTTAATAGTATCTGAATGAAGAAGAATGTCGAGAGAATAGTTAAATGCCGGCGAATAGCGTAGGAAGTAACCAAGTTTGAATGGTGGAAAGCCAGCAAGGGAAAAAGCATTAGTTTCAGCGAAGCTATTCTTTACCCCTTAAGCGTCAGAGAAAAGTACTTTCAGGCAAGGTCGGCTAGCGAACCCCGCTACTCCTTTGTCTTTTAGGAAGGGAAGTCTGAGTCAAAGTCATTGTGAATCCTCAGTTTGAAGGCGATTCACCTTCACCCAGCATCTTTTAAAGTTTTAGTCTGATTATTTCTCATCTGCCTGCGGCTCTGGCCGGCCCATCTTCCTCCATGTCCTCATCCGAGGTTCAAGCAATTGGTCATCATTCCTGGCCTGGCCGGCTGGCCGAGGTCGAGTTCCTCCCTTATTTATAATCTATACGGCTTTCTTCGTCTCTATTATTTGATTTATCAATAGCCAAAAACTTGACTTTCAGGTCTGCGAGAGGTCAATGTACTAGAGCTCATGCCCAAATAGGGGCTTTCTTTTCTCTTGCATGCGACTTCCCTTCCTCCCTCATTCATGAAAATCAAAGGAAGCTTCATCGGGAAGGGATAGGGATGGCGCATTGGCTTGGTTGGCGGCTTGGCTTCGCTATCGCTCATGACTTGGTATAGAGTCCGTGTAGTCGGTGAGTACGAGTACAGCCTATGAAACAGGCTTTGAGTTCCATTACATTGCCAAAATGAATTCCCGCCACTCTCCCTTCCAATGAACCCCACGTGTCTGCCTCCGGCTTCGAAGCAGTGGGGAAGAAAAGGACTCGGCTTAACTTCACTTGGGTTCGGTTTACCTTGTTACTATTGGAATGATGGAAGTAGCTCTTCTTCCTCTTTGCGTTAGCGACTCTGAGCTCATAGGGAGCTGGGAATTAGCTTGGTTAGCTGGAGAAGGGATAGAGTTGAAAGATCGGATTTTTTTAGCGCGCCTTATGCCTGTCCTTTCCTGACTCTGTCGATGGTATGCCTGAGATGGCAGTCTTTCTCCTTGGCTTGTACTCGAGATTCCCTTTTTGTTCGAAATCGATATCTTCGCCTTTGAGAAAGGGAACGAAGGAATTCCGTCTGTTGTCACAAGAATTGTTCAAGTTGAATGCGAATAATCGATTGAATCCGATCTTTGAAGACTTGAAGGACTAGTGTCCAATCCCGGCCGATGTAGAGTAGTCCCTTTTGGGCAGCACTTCCTCGTAGGGAACTACCTATTGTCCTTCTTTCTTGTGGTGGAACCTGGGATTAACCCTCCCAGAAGTTATTATCGCCAAAACAAAAAAAGACATCTTGAATTTCCCACAAGAGTAAAACTATAATAGTATCCGACTCATATGGCGGCGGGGGCTGCGTTCCCCTCTCTTTCTGCTGGATGGGGAGTGCATCGGTCGGCTATGTCCCTGGACCTCCTGGCTTCCCTGTCACGTCCGAACGTAATCAGAGAAGACCTGCCCAAGCACCGCACCACCTTGTGATCATAAAGAAGAATATCCAATACAATCACAGGAAAGAGTACCCGAAAAAAACCGTAACGTATCAGGGTCGTACGCCTGGAACAGTCGTACAATTTCGGCGATTCAAAAAGGAGTATATCCCTCTCCCTTAGTGTCTTTCCACTTCCCTCGTTCAGGAACAAACCCTTCGCCTAATTCTTTTGAGTCCCGGCCTGGTTTTTCCCCACTAACCAATTACGTTACGACCACTGAAGAAACTTGGTTGACGAACATGGTTTATGCGCCGCTAATGTAGCGGCTTGTCGAGCATTTGACAAACTCACACCATCCATCTCAAATAGGACTTGTCCCGCGGACACACGAGCAATCCAACCCGTAGGATTTCCTTTTCCTCTTCCCATTCTTACTTCTGTAGGTTTCCCGGTAATAGGGATATCTGCGAAAACTCTTACCCATATCTTACCATTTTTTCGGAATTGTCCGCTCATAGCACGATGGAAGTGCCCGATTATAGCCCGACGCGCTGCTTCAATGGCTCGATATGAAAGACGACCAGCTCTACAACTTTGAGTGCCATATCTTACAAAACCTAGTTTTGTTCCGTCTGGTTTGCAACCCCTACTACATCTGCCTTTACGATATTTACTAAATTTCGTACGTTTCGGATATAGCACGTCCCTTTTTTTTTTACTATATGAAATCCACACTTTGACACCTGAGATTCCGTAACGAGTAGATACTTCCGCAGAAGCATAATCTATTTTCTGGTTAAATACATTACGAGATGTTTTTCCATACTTTCCGCATTCAGTTCTAGCTATTTCTGCGCCTTCTGATCGACCTGAACAACATATACGGATCCCCTCAACCCCTTTTTTCATTACTAATGGAATATCCTTAACTATTCTACTAAAAATGGAACGAAATGATCTTGTTTTCTTTCTCAGTTGAAAAGAGATGTCTTGAGCAATCGGAGAAGCACTTTGATAAACAGATTTGATCTTGACCGACTCAATTAAGGTATTAGTGTTTGTTCTATTAGACAACAAAGATCGCATTTTTTTCACTTCGTTCAAATAAGAGTTGTACCCGTACGGAATTTTTCTGTTTCTCAGTATGATCTCTATCATCATCTCTATTCCCTTTATCCACTCTCCTATCCTACCTAGGTCTATGAATTTATCTATCAATTCCATTACCTTATCCTTACCCATGAGGTTCCAACATTTGATCCTTAATTGACCTAGGAGTGGTTCCCGGGCATCCTCAAAAAAAAGGTTATTATAAATCCCAACTCTATCCCTTGGAAAGAAAAAGGTAGCACCGAAGAAAGGAAAGAGCGAGATGGTGGTTTTTGTTGTTCCCGCGAAGCGAAGATCATTCGCCAAGCGAATTAAGTGGGTCAACCTCTTTTTGGCTTCGGCCAAACACTTTTTCTCGCTGGTCGAGCTTTCTACAAAAAAAGCGATGCGAGAACGTATTCTCTTATCTAAGCTTCTTCCCTGCGCATTCGCTCCCCCCATCGTAGATGGTTCAGCCACGCCCGGTGCCACGAAATGATTGAGAACTACGACGGGGTCGAAATGCATTTGGTTCTTTCTACAAAAAAAGTATTGCATGACCGAATAATTCAAGGAGGGGCGCACTGCAGGGAGGGTCCTTTGAAATAGATGACTCGTCGGGCCGTCGGAGCGGGACTTCTTGGGGAAAAAGAACTTAAAAAACTTCGTTTTTCTGAAGGAGTCGTAATTTTCTATCAGGAACGCTATGTCATTTACAGCCCCGGCGTATTTCGGATGCTTGAAGGCCCCGCTGACCCGAAGTGATTTAGAAAGATTCTTCTTTATCGATGGTGATCGGTCATGGTATCCATAGCGTTGCTTCTTTTTCGGCCAAATCCTAATTTCGTTTTGCTTCTCCCGGTCGTCGAGCCTGATCGACTCGACTCTTTTCCCTGCCCTCCGGCCTCTCACTTCGTTTCGTTCTTCTTCTTTCTTGTTGCTGGAATGAAGACACCCGATCGGCCCGACTTTCCCAAATGCCCACCACCGGCCCTTCTCCTTTCCGGGTCTGGATTTATCGCGTCGTTTCAGTCGTCATGGTCGACGGGGAAGAAAGAAATGAATGAATGTTCTTTTGGGAAAATGTATAAGAATACACCTACCGAGACGAAAGCCAAAGGTTAGTCTCGCAGGTGGACGTATCGAACCGAAATAAGATCTCAGATTGACATCTTGATAAACTAATTTACCATAATAATAAATAGAGTCAATGGTGACTCCGCCGTGGGAATAGCCGCTTCTTTCTTGCTTGATAGAGGGGCTTCCATTCACCAACGCTGACAAAAAGTGCTCTCCGAACCGTGCTGGATAGTCACCCATCACACGACTCTCAAACCCAACCTGTGGTGAATCCCGGGAGACAAAGTCAAAGCGCTTGATCCTTTGCCCCATACTTTGAGATGCTTCTCCCCGCCGATCAAGCAGCGACGCTGCTCGTGATAGGCTTAGCTTTAAGCCGCTATCGTTCGGTTCGAATAAGTAAAGTCCCCTCGGTCGGTTCGCTCAGGTGGTCTTCCCTTATCTTCTCTTCTCTAACGTTCAGAGTTGTTCTGGTTTAAAAAAGGAGCACCGGCCGAGCGCCCTGAATGAATAATAAATGGACAGCAAAGGGAATCAATGATTCTTATTCAACCGAGTTGAAGTTAGCAACATGTCGATTACACACCGGAGGTTGGTAAGAACTGAGGGACAATGCCCCCCTAACCTAAGTGGGCCTACCAGCGAAACAACTGGTACTGGATCGGGGGTGGGGGGGTTGGTTTCGTGCAAGGCCTTCGTAGCAGGAAGAGGCAGTTGTCATTTGAAGGGAAAGGCCCTTTGTATAGGGTTCCCTGCGCACCCTGATTCAACATTTCTATGTTCTTAGTCAAGCCTAAACTTATTGAAAACTAAAGCGCTAACGCTATAATAATTATAAAAATAGCAACCTTTAGCCTTATAAACTAAAACAAAACAAGTTTACTTACTTACTATAAAAAAAGAAGAAAGCGGCAACAAGCACCTTCTTTCTCAAAGTAAACTTTCTCGCTTCTTGCTTTAGAAAGATTGCAGCGTTAGCGCTTCTTGACTAAGAACATCATAGAAAGTCAAGGCTCCTCTCCTTTTCTAGGAATCTACAACTCTCTTTACTGAGCGAGACTCCATCCATATCCCTACTAGTGGTTATATTAAATATTTTTTATTTTATCATTTGTTTGACAGCCTAAACTAGGCTCCATTTTAGATAGGTTTTCGGTCTTAATAAAAAAAATAGGTCAGGGGCGCGTCGGAACGGTCGGTGGCTGCTTAGTCTCATCCGAGAGTCTAATCTCTTTGTACTTTTTTATTCTTTCTTTTAAAAATAAATAAAAAAAATAAGGGGGTCGATTTAGGCTCCTTCCCTTCCACTGCATAGCTGCGCTAGCAGGTACTATGAGCCCTCTGTCCCACGCATCTAACCAGCTCGCGTGGTTCACCGGTTCCACCGAAAACTCTCATTTGTTGAAGTGGAGCATAGTGCGCTTTAGGCGCTGAGCGAGAAAGGTATCTTTCTTCTTTCGTTTCGGTTTATTCACTGATCTGAAACTTAGCACTAGTTTTCTTATTGATTCCAGGGGCGGCGGCGTTCTTGAATGAAGTCTATCCGAACCGAATTAGCACTTCTCAGATCAGGCTAGGCCTCTCCAGCTCCGCAGGGCGCCGGGGCCCTGGATGCGCTAGCGATCGGCACATAGGGGGTGCCGGGTTTCTCGGCCTGGTATCCTGCACCTCGCGTTCATGATATCTACATTCAACTGTGCCCCGGAGACACGGTCGAAGCACGCCCGCCCGGTGTGCTTCTTTCACGACATGCTCTGGTCCCGGGTCTCTTCCAGTGGTCTTCTAGCGTTAGAAGAAGTCGTGTCCGTCCCGGACATCTGCTACGTCCTCCCATCCCAAGCTTTTTTATTCAACATATATAGGACAAACTGAAGGAAAAGACTGACCCATTCGGTGACTTTCGCGGTCGCCCTCACTGAACCGACTTGAATCTGAACTACGATTCAGATCGAGTCTTACCGAAATCGGATTTCCTTTTCGTGCCATATGCGCCTTATTGTTACTTTCTTTACTTTTTCCCCTTTTTTATTCCCGGTTTAATATTTGTTCTCGAAAGTCTTCGTTTCGCAAACTCTCAAAATTGTTGACCAAGCAAGGTCGCACTGAGACTGTGAGAACACTAACGGAACACTCTCTGACCCCCACTGACCAGCTAGTCTGAACTGACGACCGGCCCGCAAGCTACTCGATTTTTTTTCTTAGCTGCTCTGGATTCGATTCTAGATGCTACTTACTTACATATGATGTTTTCTTTCACAAGGTAGCGCATCTATATAGCATAGCTGAAAGCGGACAAAAAAAGCTGTTCCCATAGCGTGACGTAGGCTTAGCCTCTTTCTCTATCTACATTTATATATGATAATCTCACTAGTGGACAGCGAACAAAAAGATGCCACACTAAGAAAGCAATCCAATCAGGAACAAGGTAGTTAGGGACATGCGGACTAACTGCTCTGACATTCCTATTTTTTGAAATGAATCTTCGGACCTTCTGCCAGCGCTAACACCATCCGAGCTTGCACTGCCGCTCGAAGAGAGATGCCTATGAGACCCCCTCCAGTTCTGTAATTCGAAGGAGGTTCTGAGAATGAAATTCAAACCCCTCGTCACTTACTAGTGAGCCGGAAAGCTTAGGGACGCCTCTCGTTCCTCTTCTCCCATTTGACAACCGTATCTCAGAATGTTCGGATGATTCTCTGGAACTAATATATGCTTTCTTTTTTTTTAAGAATGGGGATATATCGTTGGGAAAAAGCAGAAGAAAAGGATTTAACGGGCAGAAGAAGGGAAGTTCGGAAAAGCCTAGCAGACGGGACTATCAACTCCTTTCTATTACGATCTCGGCACCTTCCTTACCCCCCTACGAAAAATTTACCCCTATTTTGAAGAGGAAAGCTCCCAGGTTCCGCATCTTAAAAAAGTGCATGACCAGATTGGAAGAATTCGCAATGGGCCAACTCACCCAGCCATGATGCGCATGACAGAAGAGAGCGAGCACAAAATGGAGTTTCCATCTTGGATGAGGCTCACGTCCGGAAATAATCTTTTTCAAGACTTTCTCCCCTATGTTGAACTTTATCTATATTACCTGATTTTGGAATGCACTGGAATTTTCTGGTAGACTTGGACATGTTCCATGGCGCGAAGTCTCTTCTCATTTAATAGCTCTAATTGCGGGGATATCTAAAAAAGATGCTCCCCCTCTCATCCACATCAAAATCTTTGTCAAGCTGGGCCCTGATGAGGGATGGGAATGGCTGAATACGTCTGCCCGTACGCAAGTAAGCAACTGGCCAACAATTGTATCGAGCTACAGGCCCTTCTCATAAGATGTTGTAAGCTACGGGCCAAAAAATGTCCGACGAAGCTTAAAGCAGACATAAAGAGCTAACTCAGAAGGGGGCCAACAAGCCCCTTTAAAGCAAATGCCTGTGAGAAGCCTTAGAAGTTACAGGACATAGAAGCAGGCCTAAGCAGCACCTAAGAAGCTGGTCAAGAAGTGGATTTAATCTTTTCCAGTCTAGAGACTGGCGGATTACCCTCGAAAGAAAGGATTCAAATCTTCCTTCTGCTTTGAACAAGATAAGTGGACAGATGAGTTGAATAATACAGGGACAGATAAGCTAGGCGAGGTTCCCCTTTGATATCTCCCAACCTAAAGGTTTATTCAGAGGTGGGTCTTTCAACCGCCTACTCTTTCGATGAAGGGTGCACTACAAGACCATCGATACTAAAAAGATAAAATGGGGGGGTTTCGTTGATATTGAGTCGACTATAAACTACTCATCTTGCTTGGAACCGTCGTTGTGTATGGGAAAGAGGGGTTCTACCTATGCTTGGAAAAGGGTGAATGGTCCCAAAAGGGACGGGATAAAATCCACTAGAAAGAACGGGGGGTCATCCACTCCGTCGCTGGGTAGTCAACTTTATCCGTGACTCTGAGTACAAGATTTCCGGGATCAAGAAACTAGCAAACAAATATGCTCGGCTGGACTCTTTTCTCGTATGCCCGGAAAATCAAATTGCGGTACAACTCAGCTTGCTGCAAAGCCTTTCTTTCTCGTCCAAACACTCCAGATCTGCACTTCCCTTTTCTCCATAGGGCCGAAGCTTTACTAAGAAGGGCTTTTTTTAGAGAGAGCGTAAGGGGCGATCTATATTGCTTGCCACAGCTCTATTCCCGACTCTAAATCCCTAAAGGACTTTAAGAGAGGATGAACATTCCCGTTCTATAGGTGGCACTGCCCCTATTAGAGAAGGGTGAGGGCCTACTGATTCTCTGCTAGCACTGTTAATTACCTTAGACCTACGCAGCAGGAACGATATGGAGCACCTACTCTACCGGTCGTCTGCTCTCTCGAGGTCGTCCTTCTCTAGGTACAAAAAGGACATTACGGGATATCTAAAAAATTCGATGTACTTCTTAAAGTGTGGGACACATCTCATGTTTGCCGAATCGAAAAACTATCGCCTTTGCATCCTCACAGCGGCTCTGATCAGATCCCAGTGTTGGTTCACTTTGGACTTTATCCTCCACAAAATCTTATGATCTCCTGTTCTAAATTATGTTAAACAGCTCCTGATCGCAGCAATCATGCCTTCGAAGGTACGCTTTTTTTAGGGGGGCCTTGCCTCTTGAATGAGCTTGTTCAACAATGTGCGCTCCTTCTTCCTATTAAGTCTAAGGAAGGGCGAGTACCCCTTGAAGGACCTTTTGTAAAGTACATCTCCCAAGATCACAAATCGTCGGGCAAGTTCTCCTCCAGGCTCTCCTCTGACCACGAGTGGCGTACTCTGATATGAACCCGTCCTTGAGGTAATTGTAGAAATCATAATACCAAGGTTCCCATCGTCCTCGTAATCTTGACTGGTGATAGTTCATCATGTTCCAACTCTCGATAGTCTTCATCCAAGAAGATGAATGAGTCCCGTTCGACGGAAGGGCTCTCTGTGCTGTGGCTGGGATGTCCAATCTCTCGATGACAAGCGACTCTGTGCTTCGGTGTACTAGCATGTGTACTAGAGCGGCTGAGTATTTATTCCATAAGGGCTAGCGAGTCAGCCAAGCGATTGTAGACTCGCACCGCTCACTTAAGGTTTTATACAGAGGGGGGTTGTATTGAAGGGCCATAAGCTTTGAATCAATATGCGTTGGTTCCTCCGGATCTCGTAGTTTGGGTCTCGAGATGATATTCAGGAGACAAAAGAGCAGAGCTGATAGAAATGCTTATTATAATGGAGATACTAATTCTTTAATAAAGACTTGTGCCCATTGTCCAAGATTCCTTTGTGGGACTGTCTTTTTCTTCTTCTTGACTTGACTCAAAAACCTTCCCATTCAGGACAGAACTCTGAGGGTATCTCTGAAGATTAAAAATACAGAAGAGCGACTGCCAATCAAGACAATATTGAAGCACGCGCCTTAGGACCGATCCCAGTTAAATATGAAAACGAATCCGCGCGCTCCAGTAAGATAAGGGTTTCCTTCATCGATCGGAACAAAACTAGCAAAAGAAAGAGGGAGCTGCGCTATACATAATACTAAGGGACCCAGGCTCTGCCCGAATGATACGATCAGCAACTTCTAGTACCCAAGCTATGTGATCAATAACTATTCTCCTAGAGGCGAATCCCTCTGGGAGCCCTAAGCAACCGAAGGGTAGAGAAGATGAAGAATAAGGGTAATCTAAGCATGCGCCACCAAAAGGAAAGAGAGGACCGATTGATACCAATAGCAAGATACACATATTTTTTTTTAGACTCCGAGGGGTGAGAATAGTTGAAGATCAGAAGATTGGCCTTAATAGATTAAGTGCAAACTTTTTTTTTATATTATATATTATATATATGAGTAAGCCCCTTCCCTTAGGAACAGAAGGATTCGATTACATCGGCTGGCTATACGCTTTACACATCGTCTTATGTGCTACCTTCGGTCAGGGTTTCCCTTCTCTTCTGCGGCATCAGAATCAGAGGACAGATTTATCGTAACATCCGAATCAGGGGCGACTATTGGCTTTATTCAGACTGTTAGCCCTGAACTTATTCAATTAAGTGTTTGATAATTCATTCATGCATTTAACAAATAAGGGTTTGTGTCTTTTTTAAAATAAGACTTCTTCTTAAGTAGAATTAAACTTTTTTCGTATTCTAACACATAAAGAAAAGATATCTCCTCAGAAGACGATTACGCGCATCTAGGAATTAATAGCAAGCACAGAAGCAGGAAAGCTAGCCACCGTGGAGTAGCATGAAATGCGCACCGAATCGTCTCTTTGCAGCAAATCGTCTGTTATTGAATTGACTGCTTGATAGAATAGGCGGTTCTCTTTCTGTTAGCAAGAATCCGCTGTTAGAGAATACGCTTGAACTAATAGATGGATGGGATTGATTGATTCTAAATCCGCCGAAAGTCTTTTAGTCAACAAGTACGGATTTCTAGACTGGCATCTTATCTTAGAATAAAGGTTTAAGAATCCAGATCAAGAATAGAAGTAGAAGCATGCTAGCATAGAAAGAAGTCCCGAGTGAAAACAACTTTCCTTAGGATGAGCTTTTAGGGCAAAGTCTAAGGAGCTTATTCGTCGATAACAAGCCTTTATTCAAAAAAGGAATAGAACCGGAAAGCTTTGAAGGCTAAGGTCGTAGAGACAGATCCATATGCATATGTTTATAGGAGTGAGACCAAAAAATTTGATGGTATTACAGGAAGCTCGGCCATACGGGTTGAAAAATCTTCATTCGTACCATACCGAAAAGACCGCTGGTAGATTTTGGTAAGTAAATCAGAATCTAGTGCACATCCTTGCACCTCTCCATATGTATGTGCTTTAGCCCTGATGCCATTACAAGCCGGGATTAGACAGTCCAGACAGACAATACAATCTGTGACGAAATCATACGGCTATGCCAGGGCGAGCAGTGCTGCTGCTCGGCAGTCACCCGCTTGGATCCTGCCTTGTTAGTCATCCGTAGAGCTCAAGAAAATTTTCTTTAGCCTTAAGTCATTCCCACACACCGACCAGGTTAGGGTGGCTGTTCAGTAACTCCTAGCCCTACTAGAAAGATAAGATAAATTGCTTGCGCGCTTCGTCAAGTGAGAGAGCCACTTAATTAGCAATAATGAGAGAGTGCTTTTATCTCATATGAGAAAGCGACGGGATAGGGTTAGTTTGAAAGGGCTACAGCAGGGGAATGATTTTAAGTCCTAAGAATAAGATCTTCTCGGACAATTTAGTTTGAAAACCTTGCCTTGCCTTTAGTTGAACTTCCCGAGTGGGAGATCAGTTGCAGGAGTTCATTCAGGGGATGAGGAATGTGACCATGCAACTTACATGGGTCAGAAGCAGAGGGTTCTCAACTAACTAGTCGCTTCCTGGGAAGAGCCTTTGGTTCAGTCCGTTCCGCAGTTCTAGTTTCAATCTTGTTGTAACTGACTCCCATCCCCACTATAGCTATGGATTCCCGCCTAAGCGGTGGGTGACCACTTCTTAAGTATTATTGCTTGTTTAGTGTCGTTTTCTTGCTTGCTTTCTCTTGCTGTAAAACGTCTAGAATCATTCAAGTGGTGGATATGCCAATTGTAGCTAGCCTGAAGTGAAGGAAGTTTTTCCGGTACCGCTAGCTCCCTTTCACGAGAAGAGAGGCACACTTTAGACTTGACTTTCAAATAAGCTAAAACCGTAGCCTCTGGCACACCCACATCGGATAGGACCACTTCCCCTTCCCCCCAGCCCAAGTTCACCCTCCTATGCTATGATACTTGGACTAGGGGCCTCCTCCCCTTGTGCTTTTATACACATGGAAGTACCTTTAATTATCAATTCGCCTTAACATAGTAAAATTTCTTTGGGTTTGGTGACTACTATTTTAGTCCCTCTCGTCCCAAACTTCCCATTTTTCCACAGAAGCCCTCCCCCCACTTTATTGTTCTGCATGCTTCATGAGTGGGAAGAAAGCGGAATCTTTCTTATCCAATACCAATCCGGGAATACTAGGCTAAGCATGTAGCCTAGCCGCTTCACTCGTCAAAAACAGGCTTATAAGAATGGTACTAACTAAGAATGCTATTGGATGAGGAGATTTGTACTCAGGAAGACCTGGTAAAACTGAACTACTTTCGGCGGTTCCTTCTATTATCTCCTTCACGCTACCCAATCCGAACTCATGAGTGCCTGTAGCAGCATTGAGTGATCCCCTTCTCCGACATCGATACCCTAGGGATTACAAATCGTGCCAACTTCCCTCTGCTGCGTCGCTCTACAACTGGATACTGCATCTTTCTTTGCACTAGTCGAATTTATTGGAACCCTAAGAAGGAATCTACTGTCTCTCGCTTGACTTTATCGGTAAAGCATTTCTTGCTAGATCGAATTGAGGGTGACTTCTTCCCTTCCGCTGACTAAGGCGCTTCGCTTGTGCGTTTTCAACATCCATAGCTTCTGACTATGTCGGTGAAAAAGGTACCTATTTTCTATTTCAAAGAACTACTTATGATCTGAGACTCTCTATCTATTGTCTTACTTTAGGCATCTTTATTTACGAGGAATTGCTAAGTAGGCGTAATGGTTGTCTCTTCTTGAAATGCTTTCCCTTGGCATCGGTGCCAGCTAGGACTGGTAGCATGTTCTTCTCTTAGGCTTTCTCTTGGTGTCAACATAGGAATGGGAGTTGTTTGAATGGATGCCTTTTTCCCCTGATCTTATAATACGAAACGCAATCGATTGAGAAGCCGGAATCTTTACTAATCGGCCGGGTGAAGGCAAGAAAATAGTTTCATTTGCACACCACGGGAAAGCTTGAAGATCAGAGAAGCACCCTTTGGAATAGCAAACACTTTACTCTGGCCACGGGGAAGACATTTCTTCAATTAACATTCTGGTGACCAAGCTTTAATATTAATAGAAAAGAACGCAATGGATATTTTGAATTGAAGAAATTCCATCCATCTTCGATTCCCTTCTCCATGTGTAAAATGAATCAACAATTCTCATTGCTTCACTCGCAGGCGCATCCACGGGACACCCATACCACAGCTTCGGATTCATTGAGTAGGAGTCAAAAGCAGCACGGGAGCTATTAGCCTTAGGTTCAGAAATAAAAGTATTTATTCATATTAAACGGTAGCTTACGCTAATATGAGAAAAGGTTAGGGAATGACTAAAGAAGAACTACATTCATAGGTAAACCCCCTCTTTCTATTCGTTTATTCTTTTTTGTTGATTAGGTTCTGCCCTTTTCGTGCTGGCTAAGATTGATAATACGACTCAAACTCCTAAGCCACCATACCTGATTGCTTTGATCGAAGCTTAAACAGGGCCTGTGCTATCAGAGTGCTTTACTTTTTTTCGAGCGGTTTATCTTGTTTCGGTTGCCGATTGCTTTATTCTATGCGTAGATTGGTTGGACCCCGCTTTGACCCAGTCGTGAGACGAGCCGCAGGAAACAACTAGGTGTCAGCGGAAAGTAAGTCCTTGAAAGTTGGCAGATCGGCATGGGCGGTTAAACTAAAACTATTAGCTCCTCCAATCACTCTTACAAAGCCTTATCCTTCATGTCTATCTTCCATGACAAGATGAATCTATTGCCTCCTCGCCTCACTTCCACTATAAGTTATTCTGTATGGGACAAACGCCAGTCACGCTCGTCATTGTCCACCGCACCACTAGTCACCCGACTCCGAATCCCATTTTAGAGATCGTTCCTTCCTCTCTCTGCAATCAAACTAAAGCCCTAACGCTATAAAGCCTATAGCCTGCCTTAGTCTCGCGCATACGTTTTCTTGCTGGGTGAGGGCTTTAAGACCCATTCACATAGCGTTCCTGACTTATAACATTTGAATTTATAAAAAAAATTTTAATTTGAAACGGGTATGGCTTTAACTTCATTCATTTTGACAAGGATAAAATCAATGGGAAGAGGTGATTCATGTTCAAGAGAGCTGCTTTGTAGGGAAATATTTAAATTATATATGGAATCCCATAATTTCCATTGAGCGGGTATATGAAATAAAAAAAGAAGACTAAAATTTAGAAAAGGTTTTCCAATAAACTCCCCAGACTATAGTAAAATGGAGGGAGATGAAGCTCAAGAACAAGCACTCAAACGAGGGATCCATGTAAAGCAGACCGGCAGCCAGAGATTCCAATAGGCAAGAACGGTCCACACCAGTATGGGCGCACGGGAGTACTCTCCCCTCAAAGTACGCCACCGGTTAGGTTTAACGTAAGATGGCTTTGTGTTGTGCGAGAGTGGCAAGAATCGGGTCAGATTTCGCCGGGACGCAGCTCGATTACCTTTCGTGCAGAGGAACCTTCGACTAGGGTTCGTACGATGCCCAAAACCTTACAGTCCACAAGAGCTATTTCGAACAGCACTCTACGAGAATTGTTGGAGAATTGGATGTAACTCTATAAACTCCTATATTATCTCCTATTGCAGAATACCTAGTTTGAACTCCTACTCGAAATCGAAAGAAGGGAAGGTTAGTGGCACTTCTTTTTCACGCTTGAACTACGGGACAGACTAGCGGAAAAAAAGTTACATCCATACGTGAATAACCCCTGTAAGTCAACCCAGTTGTCTTAGGCTCAAATCCGCACTTTCGGGAATAGAATGCTTCTTTGACAGAGCTTTAAGCAATTGGACAAAAAGGTTCTGCACGTGAATCAGACTGGCTTTATCTCAGGATGTGGGATTACCGATGTCACGATTGGAATTAGGAAAGGAAGCCTCTGTCCCAACTTTC